ATTCAGTATAGACAAAAAAAAACATCGGAATATAAAATTAGCAGCGAAAAACACGAAAACACCATTTTTTTGCCCACCTTTATGGAGTTTTCACTCCTTTCTTCTACGAGGCTCTTTATTGCCTTTAAAAAGAGATTTACATTCCTTTCATTTAAATCATCAATCACAATTAGTTAATCTCCTTTTCACCCAAATTCTTCCTTTTTTTTTGCCCACCCTATTTAACCGTCTCTTGACTTCAATTTCTAATTGAAATCTGCACCTTTATAAAAAAAAAAAAAACAAAAAAAAAAAAAAAAATCTTTCTTCGAAAATTTAATTTTCTCGTTGACTAAACGTAACGAAAAAAAAACGTAATGATTTTTCTTTTCACCCATCCATTCGTTATACTAAGGGAACCCGAATCCTTATGTCATAATGAAATCCCTTTCTAAAATCGTTTTGTTCTTTACTCAAACATTATTTCTTAGTAGTGTTTTGTTTGGATTCTTCTTTCCTAAGGCAGTGGCTGTTTCTTTAGGCCAATTCATTCAATATAATTTTTCGATCATCTCATACGAAGACACAAATAACATCACACTTGACACTGATGGAACCGTAATTCGTTACTACCATCAGGTTTTATCACTTCGCAAGCCTACATATAAGAAGGAAAGGTTTAGTTTATATGATCACGTGGTAAGTTACATAAGAGGATTTCAATTGGTGCACGAATAAAACTGATTGATTTATCACCTAAAATAAAATATTAGGTTCAATTATTACCGTGCCACCCACCGGCGAAATCTTTCGCGCCATCCTTTGAGGGATCGTTCTTCTTCACTTTAACGAACACAGAAAACGATTTTCTGGTTTCATCAAAGAAGTCGTATTCCTATTATGAGGATTGCACGTACGAGATCGACAGGGGGTGATAATAAGATTTATCGCGTATGACCAAAAAATGGGAGAAGGCTTTGACGAAGCATTTACAAGTAAGCTTTCTTAACACATCACAGATGATAGTTATAATGGACACAATAGAATGACTGACAAAGGTCACTTTTTTTTGGCAGCCGAATTCCGCAAGAGATACTCGGGCAAGTGGAGAGGAATGTAGTATCGGGAGTCATCATAAACTAAGATTCTTTTTTAATCCATTACCCTTTATTCGTCTCTTGAATTTCGAATTTTTTACTATTTCTCATTCTACTTTCGGCAATCGCTTTTCCTTTTCCGTCGTCAATCTCTTGCAATTCTCGTCGTTTACAAAATTCTTTGCGTATCTCCACCGTGGCGATTTGATTCCCTCGAAATTTGTATTGGTTGCTTTTTCAACAAGTCTCAAAAATCCCATTTCTGGTCTAAAAACTAATGAATATATTATGCCCCCCTTAATTTTATTTCGTTGTTTTTGTTTTTCTTTTCAGATTATATTCTAAATAGTGCTAACCCAAAAATTTTTTATTTTACGTTTCCTGTACAGCCTTTTTTTTTTCAAAAATTACTATCAAAATCTCAGTTTCCTTTATTCTCAAAACATATCAGTGTTCTCTTTTTTCCTTCATATTTCCATCTTCTTCTCTCAATCAACTTCGACCGAATCTATGCAAGAATAAAAGAACTTTCTTTCTATAAAGATCTAAAATAATAAAGACGAAAATTTCAAGATGTAATTTTGATAATCGTTCGAATCGTAATCTTTAATTAATGCTATAATGTAAATCCAGGGATGTAATATGTTTAGTGCAACCAAAAAGTTTAACTAATAATTTTAGTTACAAAAATTAATTTAATACACTATTTTTTTTTTTTTTTTTAAAAAAAAAAAAAAAAACTATCGAGACCACTACTTATATGTATGTGCATTATATCTTATGAAAATTATCATGCACCTGCCCCAGTGATTAACAAAAAAAGGAGTGTTGATTTTCGACTATCATGTGTACTTACCTACATACAATTAAAAAATTCTAACTCTCTTATAATATTGTTTCACTATATTTATTTATACTGTATATACTGTTACTAGTATTTGGATGTCAAATTATATCATTGGGATTCGGTGTTCCTAAACTAGTCACGAATAATTTAATAAAGATTAATATTTTGTATGTACCAGATTTTTTAAAAAGCATAAGAAGCTAGAGGCTTCTCTAGTTGATAATTAATGATATTATATAAACATATTCATTCCTTTAGTAATTGCATTATCTATATTAACCCCGTAACGAACGTGATTATAAATAAAAATAAAAATCTCCAATTAAAAATCAACGATCCCGATTATTATCATTAAAGCTTTTAATATATTGAATCGGTAATACTACCATTAATGATGATATATCGTATATATAGTATAGTTTGATCCAAAAATTTTGATTTTGATTTTGATTTCTAACTCGATAACAAATTAATAAAATCAGATAACACCATAAATACATACACATGTTAAGATATAAAGAATAAAGTTAGATATATAAATTAGATTATTAAAGTATAAATAATATGAATAATAATCTAAATTTATATTGATTACAAAAAAATAATAATTATTATTATTATCAATTATCAAAATTAACTCAATCTATAAATTAATTAATTAAATGATTTCGTAATTGAAATATTAAACAATTCACATTTGATTGAAATTTAATAAATAATATTTGATGATAAGACATTTTTGTAAAAAAAAAAAGTATAATCAAGCATTTATTATTTTTTAAAAGAAAAAGACTATTTTTTAATTTTTTAATAAAATATCAATATTATTTATAAAATATAATAAAATAAAATCTTTTAAGGATTAATAAATTATTTGTTTGATTTTATTAGAAAACAAATTATTTGATGCTTTTAAATTATTTAACATTTATACTGTATATTGTAAATTTATAATTTATTTATTTATCTTATTGTTTAAATAACTTTCAAATTTAATATCTGCTTATAATTAGAAATAATTTATTTATTTATTGAATTGATTTTAACAATTAATTATTATTATTATTATCTGTAATCAAACAAGTATTTATTTGTGTTTATTTAACATTTCAAATAACAGTGTAATAGTACAAAGATTTTTATGAATAAACTAAGCTAATACTTGAATATCCGTCACTGATTAGAAAATCTCTAGATATGACCTTGAAGATAAATAAAGTTGCTTCCTTATTGCTGCTATTCCTTGGAAGCTTTGAGTTTATCACCTGCAGTTTATCACTATAGTTCACCTTGGTAAGATCTTGATTATTTTACATTTCTAGCCATTTGATTCCCTCTTTAATTTTGTTTCATAATACTTCTGTGATCTTCTTCTTGACATTCTTATTTGAATTTGATTGTTTGAATATTATGTCTTTTCTCTTTTTCATTTATAGGTCTTTGGAATTGCTTGTTTCTTGGCTTCTTCTTTTTCTTGTCTTGTTTCTACTTCCAGATACCTGGTCCCTCTTTTTTTCTTTCTCTTATAATGTAGTCTTGCTATTTGATTCAAGATTAAAGTCTCTTTTTTTCTCTTTTTCTTTATTGTCATATTTTTTATGTTTATGGATTTTCTTGCATCTTGTGTTTCATATTTATTGACAAAAATATTTGATTCAAAACTGCAATATTTTGTTTAAAATTTTCCATGCAGGTGCTTTGTATATTTGGATTGTTCAGAAGGTATTAGTCCATTCTAGGTAAGGATCCTAACGATTCTCTTTGATTCTGTATTTGATTCTCAAGTTTATATTAAATTTAATAGGTGGGTATACCTTACCATCATTTTTAATAGTGTTCCGAACCTCATGTGATTCTGTTCGATTCTATTCGATTCCAATTTTCGGAACTATAATTCTAGGATATTATCTTTTGTCCAAAGTCTTATGGTAATATTGATAGTTTCTTTTGCTAATGATAACTTGTCTTTTCTCTACTTCTCCATCAATGTTTTAATTAGGGCTGGATTTCATTTTTCATTTTCTTTATTTTTCATAGTATACCTTGGAATCCATAGTGTAAGAAGTTTGTTAAAAATACTATTTTATATTTGGTTTCTTTCTTCTTAAAGTTCCTTGTAGATTAGTAGGTGATTTAGTATTTCGTTTTACTCTTGACAAAAGACACATTTGCTACTTGCTGATAATTTCTGGGCTTTGCATTGTATTAAGTTATCTATTGTTGACAATTCATTGTATATAAGTTTGGTCTTAAATGTTCTAAGTCTTATTTGTTTGAAAGATGTAGTTAGTGATTCCTTGTTGTTGTTGTGTCACCAGAAACCTCTTCAGTCAATGGTATCACAGTTATCTATTTTCTTTTTCTATCTTCACTATATTCTATTAAGAAATGTCCATTGTATTAGGATTTTTCTTTTGTTATAATTCTTAATATATGCTCTTGTTAAGATATTGATTGAAATATTATTCTATGCAAGTACTGTGATTGGAGTTATTATTAATAGTGCTTTTTATCTGAATTCTGTTTCTTCTTTTATAACCTTGGCTAGTTGATCAACTTAATTATTCAGTATGTCTTTGCTGTGTACTTTGACTTTGACAAGTTTCAATTGAAGTCTTTTTTTCTTAACTATAGTTACTAATTGAATATTTTTATTTATCTTTTTAGTGTTTTCTTGGGATGCTGCTTGCTTATTTTTACATAAGTATTGATGCAAGTGGCACTATCAGTTCTAATTTCTATGTTACTATCATTTGAAACTAATAAAATTGCTAGAAGAATTGCTACTAGTTTTGCTTTTGTGAATGATGGTCAATTGTCAACCACTGCTTGAAATGATCTTCCTGGATTTGATCCTTTTGTTTGTAACCAGGCTGCTCTCATTTTTATGAATTGGTCTAGTGCTTTACCTATAGCACCATCTATATAAAATTAATAATTGCCTTTATAGTTACTATTGTTGTTAAGTCTGTATTCGAGGCTTAATCCTATATAGTATTCTTCAAATATGATATTGTCTTGGATAATTTGTAATCTATAGTATACATGTAGTATAAATTATTTTGCTGTTGACTCAATTCCCAAAATCCTCAAAAATAATTACATTATAACTCAATTATTTATATGTTTTAATAGTGACTCAATTAATTGCATCAAATAATTGTATCAATTGCATCAAGGATTTACAAATTTCAGCAACATGTATAATCTATAGTTTTTTATCTCTACATACTACAATTTTGATGATATTATAGTACTAGTTTAAAGTTGTTTCAGCTGGGTCTTGGCTTAGTTTTCCAATATATGAATTTCTATTGATATTTATAGTTCTCTGCCTCTTTGATATTTGGTGATTTTGTTTATCCAATTGAAGAAAAATAATGAATTTCTATTGATGTTTTTTTTATTGTTCTTTATTTTGTAAACTTGGTCATACCATAACTAACTTCTATACTAATTTGAAAGTATTCTGTTCTCTGATTGTTTACTTTCTGGGTATTTTTACTTTTGAACTAGATGAGATTATGTTCTGTACTGTTATTGGTACTTACTTGCCAATTCTATTTTCTATGATCATTCTGTTTGTTTGGTATAAAGAGTATTCTGTTTTATGTTGTCTAATTGAAGCTTGACTATCTTGGCTTGAGAACACCAAACTTGTTTGCCAATATTTGCTTAATCATCTGATACCATCTTGAAATAAATCTCTTTTCTTGATTGTTTAGAGATTGTATAATTTTTCAATTTAGGAGTGTACTGAATTCTTTGTCTACTAGTTGATTCACAAACATAACGTTATACTTTCTTAAGAATCTTTTTGTTTTGTTATATAGGTAGGGATTATTCAATAAGATCTTGATTATTATGTATTTTCTTTTCCATTGGAATAAGTCTGTCCATTGTAAGTTAGGAAATGTAATATCCATTTGGTTTGCTGTTTTGAGTATTTGCGCTGAGAAATTCTTTTTGTAGTCATTTGTGGGTGATTCTATTTGAAAGAATATTTGCTAGTTTCCAGTACTGAATTTGGACTTGTTTGAGTTGGATTAAAGTTAAAATGCATAGGTTGTTGTTATTATTTAATTGATTTATAAGATTGGTAATCTGGTTTTTGAAGTTGTAGTTCCCAAATACTTTTGATCTTGTAAAAGAATTTGTGGTGTATGGTAGGGTTGG